GTTTGAACATCAGTCACAGCTGCACGGATGGAGAGCGCTCCTTCTCACAATGGGGCAATCGCCTTAGCGTATTACACATTCCTCATACCAATGTGTGACGGTCACAAGAACGGAGGACGGTTCGATTTCAACAAGTGGCCCTAGCTGGGCGCTCCTTGAAAGCTACAGACCCGAAGCTCGAACAGCAGTAACAATTGCATGGGCGGCTCCTTATCCATACTGGGGCAGTCGCTTTAGCATCGCGCAGATTCGTTGTTCTTTTAAGTCCGCAGCAGATGCCTGGATGGAAGACTGGTTCTTCTCGACATGTGGATCTCGCCTGAGAGTTCAAGAGAATACACCGACCAGGCGCTTGAAAATAAGAAGCAGTTGCACGGATGGAGAGCCTCCCTTTTCAGAATGGCGCGGTCGCCTCAGTGTCGCGCACAATCGCTTCACGAGCCAGCAGCATTTGCAAGAACGGAGGACAATTCTTTTTCGACATGTGGCTATCGCTTGTTGTTTATCAAATGCACTGACCAGGAAACTGAGCATAGGTAACAGCTGCGCGAATGAAGGGCGGCTCCTTTCCAAAATGGGGCGTTCGTTGGAGATTTGTTCAAATGTTAGCACCCGGAGCGCAAACGTCTGCCACAAACGCACGGATAAGAGGCGGTTGTGTTTCAAAACGGGGCGTTCGTTGGATACCTCGCTGGGTCGTGTGACCACACAGCGACGCGCTCTCAATTATTCGTTGAGAGGTCGCAAGGTAGTTCCTTGTCAAAACGGGGCGATCGCATGAATGGCAGGGTCGTTGGATGCTCGTTTTTCGAGGGGGGGGGCGCTTCTTGTAGTGCAAATGGAAGGCCTGTAGGGATTTGTGAGGAGGAGACTTGGGAAGGGAGGATAGATTGCAGCATCGTCGATGCACCCTGGCTTTGCTCTGGCCCTCCCTCTCCTCCTTAACCTCATCCTCCTCCCCCTCCCCCTCTTGCGCTGCCGACCCCTGTCCTGCCGCTGCGTGGAGCTCTTGCCGTTGCTCATCCCCCCTATGTGACGCGAGGGCAGCCCACTGCTGCTTGCTCCGCTCGGCTCCCTCGCGGGCGGCCCTGGCCATTCCTGCGGGCTGGCCTGCGCGCTGCTCCGCGCACGCTGGGCTGGGTTTTGGAGCACTGCTGGCAGCCGTCGGGCCACCATTCAAGGGAGGAGAAACCACCTCGACCCCGACAACTGGCGTTTTACTAAGCGGCCCTGGGCGTTTGCTTAACAGCCCGGCCCTGCTCGAGTCCTTCCTCGGGTGGGTTTACCAAACGGCTTCGCTTGTCGGGGTGCTTTCTATGGGGGGGATTTGACCCCTCCTCCTCCTCTTCCTTCTCCCCCTTTTCCTCCTCCTCCGCCCTCCTCCTCCTCCTCCTCCTCCTCCTCCTCCTCCTCCTCCTCCTCCTCCTCCTCCTCCTCCTCCTCCGCCCTCCTCCTCCCGACCACTGCTGGAAAAACTCCCCTCGCCCCGCCGCGGGCCCTGAGGTCCCCAAGGTCGCGGGCGGCACGCAGGACCAGCAGAAGTGCACGGGCAAGTACGAGCTGGTCCCGAACATGACGCCCAACGGGCGCGCCGCGCGGGCCTCCCTGGGGCTCCTCGGGGCGGAGGCTAGAGACAGGAAGGCGGGAATTTCCGCGGTGGCTTTCAAAATGCGGGTCTCGCTTTCGCGCCGCGCACATTCGTGTTTAAACCTTCCACTTGCTGACAGCACGGAGGCCCGATTGCTTTCAAAATGCGGCTCCCGCTTTGAAGATTCCCTCAACTTCGATGACCGGGAATCCAACATTCTGCGACAGTTGCAAGGATGGCGGGCGGCTTCTTTTCAAAACGGCGCCCGCGCTCCAGAATTTCGCGAACTGTATGACCAGAGCTCTGAATTTGCGCAACATTCACGCTTTTTTCGTCGGCGGCCAGGCAGGGGTCGTCCGCGCTGTCGGGAGGATCTGACGGCGCGCAACACTCACGCGGATGGGGCAGTCGCTGTGCGGATCGGCTTCAAAAGGGGGCGTTCGCTCCACACTTGTGGGAAATTTTGCGCCCTGCCTCCCTGTGCTTCCTTCTAGCGACATGCATGGAGGGCGACGCGTTCTCCGCCTGTCAGGCCTTTGACGCCCTGCCTCCCTGTGCTTCCTTGCAGCGACAGGCACGGATGGCGAGTCGTTCTCCACCTGTGAGGCCTCTCACGCCCTGCCTCCCCGCGACACGGAGGGTCCACCTGTGAGGCCTGGACGCCCCTTCCCTGCAGCGACATCCACTTGCAAGGCCCTTGACGCCCTGCCTCCCCGCGCTTCCTTGTAGCGACAGGTTTGGAGGCCCTCCTCCTCCTCCTCCTCCTCCTTCTCCTCCTCCTCCTCCTCCTCCTCCCTCCTCCCTCCTCCCTCCTCCCTCCTCCCTCCCTCCTCCCTCCTCCGCCTCCAGCTCGTGGAGGAGGAGGCCGGAGGAGGAGGAAGGAGAGGAGGAGGAGGAGCATTCGAAAAGGATGAAAAAACAAGGAGAGAGGAGGAGGAGGAGGAGAAGGAGGAGAGGAGGAGGAGGAGCGGAGGTGGAGAAAGGAGAGGAGGAGGAGGAGGAGGAGGAGCGTTTCATCCCGAATCGGCCGTTGACGGTCCGCGGTGCCCGGCGAGGGCACCCGGAGGCCGAGCTCTCCCCAAAAAAAGCTTCCCCGTCTGCGCTGCAGCCCCGTCGGCGCACCGCGGGCTCGCTCCCGGGCCCTCGTCCTCCTCCGCCTCCTGTGCAACGCTGGGCCCTCCTCTGCCTCCTCCTCCTCCTCCTCCGCCCCCTCTCTCCGCGCCCTTTTCCCCCCCTGTCGGCGGCGAGCCACGCGGGGTGGAGAGCGAGAAGGAGCGGGCCTTCTCAGCAGGCTCGGAGGTCCCGCACGCCCCGGGGAGGGGGCCGAAGGGGGGGGGCCGGCAGGCCGCGGAGGGACGGGAGCACGAAACGGCAGAGGCAAAGCAAAAGTGCCTTGCACATGGCACTTACTCTTTGGCGGCGCGCAGAGGGGAGCAGTGAGAAGGAGCGGGGGCAGCGATAAGGAGCGGGTCTTTCCCAGAAGGCTCGGAAGTCCCCCGGCCTTCTGGGAAGTTTGTCAAGCCTTCCCCGAAGACGCAGACAACCCCTCAGAGGGCGCGAGTCCCGCCGCCCTCTGAGAAGGCCTTCTCCTTCTCACTTCCCGCGCTCGCTCGCCGCCGACATCTGCCTTCTCCCCACCCTCCTCTCTCCTTGCCCTTCTCCCCCCTGTGGGAGTGGTGAGGAGGGGAGGCCTGAGGGCGGGCGCGGCTGTGCACTGCGCCTGCTCCGACTCCGACTGGCTTGGCGCCGCGCCGCGCGCACGAGCTCCCCGCTCCGGGCGACGTGCAGCAAGGGTCCACGAAGGGGCCAGGGTCGTGAGCGTCGCCTCCCCACCCCCCGTCCTTGTTTTTCGTTTATCCAGGGGCAACAGGAAGACGTGGGGGAGGAAAGGGGGGGAGTGCAGAGAGGAGGGGCCAGAGGGGGGGAAGGAGTGCGCGGGAGGAGCAGGGAGAGGAGGAGAAGAAGGAAGGGTGGGGGAGGGTGGAAGGAGGGAGAAGAGAAGGGGGAGGGAAGAGGGAGAGAAAGGAGACGGGGATGAGGAGGCGGAGAGGGAAGAAGACAGACGGAGAAGAGAAGCGAGAATGTGGCGGAAAGAGGCGAGGAGGCGGGAGAGAGGAGAAGCGGAGGGGGCACGCGGAAAGAATGAAGAGAGAAGAGCAAGAGAGCTTCCGGGCTGCGAGTGTGTGAGACGAGGGGGGAGATAAGGAGGAAGGTCCGAGCGGGCTTCTGGCCCTGCAGTAGTTTGCTATACCTGCGAGCTGCCCAGGCACCCCGTGTGGAAGACCGCGGCGGGCGACCGATGGTTGTACCACGGGACGGCGCGCCCTGAAGATGAGTCGGGTGTTGGCGTGCGAACTTGTTATGAGAGCGCACGCTTGCATGCGGGAAAGGCAGATGGAAGCAGGGAGGGAGACGGACGGAGACATGAAGCGGGAGGGAGCGATAGAGAGAGAGAGAGGAAAAAAGAGAGAGAGAGAGAGACAGAGACAGAGCAGAATCTATATGTATATATAGAGAGAGAGAGAGAAAGAGACGGGAGAAGGGAGAGAGAGGGCGGGCGGGATGAAGCCAAACGACAATGTCAGATATCTATACAGCTACCTTTGAATTCATAGATCGGAAGAGCGAGAGAGAGAGAGAGACTGAGAGAGAGAGCGAGAGCGACAGAGAGAGAGAGAGAGCGAGCAAGGGAGCACGAGAGCAAGAGACAAAGAGAGAAAGAGAGAAAGAGAGAAAGAAAGACAGAAAGAGAGAAAGAGGGGGGAATCAAGAGGAAGAGCACAATAGAAGACGTAAGAGGAATAAGTCGAAGGGGAGGAGGGAGGAGCAGAGGGAGCGGAAGAGGGAACAGTAGGCAGGGCCGTCCGAGGCGCTTCTCGAGGGGGTGGCCTGTCGAGTCGGCATGGTGCTGTGGAATGCGACGCCGTAAAGATGCCCGACTGATCCATGCTTTGGTCTTCAGTTGGCATCTGCGTGGCGATACCGGTCGAAGATCGGCCGTGGCGAGCGGCTTGCAGGTCTTGATTGCATTTGCCCGTGATGGGCCAAGAACGGGCCGACGCGAACAATATTTATATATATTAGAAGAAGAAGAAGAAGAAGAAGAAGAAGAAGAAGGATAACAAAAAACGTATATCATGTCCTTACAATGATAGACATATATATATATATATGTGCAAATGCAGATGCATGAATACAGTTTTTCTGTGCACATACAGACAGACAGGCAGGCAGGCAGACAGACAGACAGGTGCATGCATGCGTGCATACGCACGTACGTGTATACATACACATACATACGTGCGTGTGTATATATCTGTATATATATACATACATTCACACGACGGAGTAGACAGGCGGGGTCCGCAGCTGGGACTTGTACCCTTCACGGCGGGACCTGGCCCTCGGGGGG